ACTGATATAATAGACATCAATCGATGTCTGTTTCAAGTTCAATGTATTTTGTGACAAAACATCATTGGCGTTGATCAGGTTTGTTCCAAAAAAAACTCCAAATGTCATCAGCAAGTAATAAATACTTAATTCTCACACATAGTACCATGTTTACCAACTGACATTCAGATCAACTTCTTTCTGGCCCAAATTAGTCATATCTTTGTCTTATGTGTTTATTTGGCGATACGGATGAATACCATTGACGTCAACTGGATCGATTTCTGCTTGTCACTATGGATTATGTGTTGTGGGAGAAAACAGTTTTTGCTGGTTAAAATGGCTAATGTGTATACTTCGATTGACATGTATTACCGTACATATTTTTTAACATGTACAGTCAACTCAGGCAACAGCTTAGTCTATCAACTACAGTTAAAAAATTATTTCTTCCATGTTTCCATGTCTCAAAGACTAATCATAATCCTTATTACAATCAAGGAAGGACTTTCTTCATATTCACAGAAAGTATTTGAGACAAGTAGAATTAATGCCACGTGGATTCTCAAAAACTCAAAGGATTTGCTGGACTTTTTGCAATCTCAGAAAAGTTCCATTCTGTCAAAACATTTGATTTTTCCACTTTGTACAATATCCCACATGACAAACGAAAGGAAAGACTTAACTCCTTGATCCATTGGTCCTTTGTTACAACACGTTGTGAACACAGATACAGTTACGTATCTATATTAAGAGGTTCAGGACAATTTGTGAAAAATGAAAGCAAATGGCATCTGAAGTTTACTGAAAAAACAATATGTGAAATGATCGACTTCCTCATTGAGAAATGGGGAGGACATTTTTAAATTTCACGCATCAGTGACAAAAATGATGTCCGATGCAATTCCCTATTTTGACTTGTACTATATGTTCCCATGTTTTTTTAGGCGTACGATTGACTTGCCTTTGTATGTGTTTATGACGGGTGTCACCGATGGGGCAGGATACGCTCGCCTTTTCGCGATCATCTGATATCATTACTATTTGATACTGATTCATGCACATGCTCATGAGCTCGGAACTGTACAACCGACTGTGCTTTATGCAGAGATGCACAGAAAAATGTGTCCACTTTCTCTTCACACCACATGCTTCGTGAGATGTTAAGTTAACTCTTTCAAACAGTGAAACTATATAAAAAAAACTCGCTAGAACAAAAAGTAAAACATTATCATAGAATCATGTTTGGCACTAGTGGCCATTTGTGGCATAAATATATAATATAGCTTTCACACTGCATAACAGTGGAGGCTACACAGGAAGGCGAACAATCGGTGTATGTTTTTTTCTCTCCCACACATAAATGAAATCGTCATATTTTGATATCCTTGTATGAGCACCAAGTAAACGTCAATGATGTGATCTCAGTGTTTAGCCTCTGCAAATACATCAGCTAACCAGATACGAAGCTGGCTGAAAAGCTCTGAGCCTAACTGTAATTAACTGCGTTTATGGAGTTGACCCACTTCTAACAATGAAGTTAGAGTTCTTGAATCCCCAGGTGTTTAGGCTTCCTACCGCTGGTGTAAAATGTCATCCACAACCTGGAAATGACTTCATGGTCATTTGCATAATGCTTGCCAGACAGTTCATTCTTCGAGTTCGGGAAGAGGTGTAAGTGTGACGGTGACAAATCTGGTGAAAACGGAAGATGTTCAAAACCACAGTGACTGGCGACAACAAACTTGTGCAGTGGTGCATTACCTGATGGAACAACACACTTTTCAAATAGTGAGTTTTCCGCGACGTTTAGCCTCGATATTCTCACGCAGCTGCCAAAGCAAATTAGTATAATATTGGCCATTAATGGGATGCAGCCCACCAGTATGATACCTTTGGAAGCCCAAAACAAACTGGAGCAAAGACCTTACAATGTGATGGCGCAGACTTTGCCTTCTTTAGAGGTGGAGACGTTGGATGTAAAGTCTCTGGCTGATAGTGGTGAACCCAAGACATCCGTGGTTACAAATCGATCAACAAAATCATCTGGGTCTGCTTCAAAACGACTTAAACTCTCACGAGATATGATGAACCTAGAGCTTTCCTGAACTTGAGTCAGAAATCCTGAATCCCAGCGTGCAAAAACCTTTATTCATTCCTCAGTGCGTTTTCAACTCTCCCATGCATTGGCTATGTGATCATGATGTGTTTGTGAGACGCCATTCATCCATAATCGTATTATGCATTGTATCAACGATTTCCTTGGTGGGAACAGTTGAATTAATCTCGTTCAACATTCAAACACTATTTTAACATTGGATTGAAGCCAACAATACTGAACTAGTGTAAACTCCCCCTTGCAATGGTGTACGACACCGTGTGAGTGATAAGGGTCGCCTATTAACTTGGTATTGGTTGCCGCTCATTATGTAAAGCAAGTTCGAGTTGCTCTAATCTGTTTGTATTGTTTGTATTGAAGGGGGTGTTCCTGGCAGTGAGAAAGTCTAGTGTGATCCTGGTTATTTGGGATGCGGCGCTGTCATGCTGGATATCGCTGTACAAACGACAAAGATACTTCATCCTTGTTCTTTTGGGTTGTTGACATGAATGACCACTGATGTCACCCAACATCCAACTCCTCATCGTGACAATGTCTTCTTCGTGACCACCTCCTACTTCACCACTACTATACACACACGGATCTCCTCCGTAAACAACCTGGAACCTTTTGTATTTAGTCTTGTCCGTAAACAACCTGGCACCTGATGGATTTAGTCTCCTCAGTAAACAACCTGGAACCTGTTGGATTCAGTCTCCTCCGTAAACACCCTGGAACCTGGTGGATTTAGTCTCCTCCGTAAATAACTAGGAACCTGATGGATTTAGTCTCGTCCGTAAACAACCTGGAACCTGATGGATTTAGTCTCGTCCGTGAACAACCTGTAACCTGATGGATTTAGTCTCGTCCGTAAACAACCTGGAACCTGATGGATTTAGTCTCGTCCGTAAATAACAAGGAACCTGATGGATTTAGTCGCCTCCGTAAACAACCTGGAACCTGATGGATTTAGTCTCCTCCGTAAATAACAATGAACCTGTTGGATTTAGTCTCGCCCGTAAACAACCTGGAGCCTGTTGGATTTAGTCTCGTCCGTCAACTACCTGGAACCTGTGGGATTAAATCCCGTCTGTAAACAACCTGGAAACTGTTTTGTTATATTCTTGTCTGTAAACAACCTGGCACCTGTTTGATTTAGTCTCACTGTAAACAACCTGGAACCTGCTGGAATAAGTCTCGTCCGTAAACAACCTGTTCTACCAATGTTGCCACGTCAATGGCTGCCATGTCACGACAAAGGCCTGGAAGAAAGATGTAGACTCGGCTGATGTAGATGACGTCACCGTCAGCCAATGAAATGTCAGCAGGTTCTTTGTTGGTTGTCATAGTGGTCTGCCACTTCCTGATCCGTCTAGGGTGTCCCTGAAAGGTTGTAACGTTCTGAAGAGAGCAACAGCCAAACGCTCTTGCAAACAAGGACGTACCTTGAACAATGTGTGTTATGCCAACCTCCCTGCTCGGCAAAACCTTGACATTTTCTTTGTCTGCTTTTGGGAATTGTGATGGTAAGGGAGTGAATCTAACGACCAGTAAACGCAGTTGGCGCTCATTTATTCGTGTAGCATGACAACCGTTAAATGAGAGACTTCGGTGTCGATTTTCTTAAACTAATGTTTTTCATAAGATTTCTTTGTATCGTGTATATGTTTCGTCTGGGTAGATGCACAAGTTAACCGGAATGGAATGCTTTCACGTTGTGTCCAGTGTACTCCAACAGTCAATATGCATTTTCTTTCACAAATTATTCTGTGCTTTATGCATATAAATAATTTGCCTATGCGTGTATCTACCCACCTTGTGTATTATACGATGTTATAAGTGTTCTTAACCAACTTTTTGTGTACTGTGTAATTACATGTGCGGTCTCATGCACCGTGTTGTATACTAAATCATGACGTTGTCTGGACCGACCTACCTTGTTGTGTACTAATGACGAACATGGCTGTACCTACCACCCTTTCTGTGTACTTTGCAATGACATACTTGTTATAACCAACCTCTTGGTTAATAAAACAATGGGGCATGTGAGTAGATCTATACCGTATTATGTATAATATAATGAAATATTTGTTATAACCCACCTCGTTGTGTATCATTCGATGAAAAGGTCTGTTCCTACCACCCCTGCTCGGTACTTTAGCAATTACACATTTCTTATAACCTACCTCATTGTGTAGTATACAATAGGACATTGTTTACATATCCACCTTGTGTATAATACAATGACACAACGTATGTTCTAATCCATCTTGTGTTCTGCATAATGATACAAGGGTGTAACTACCCATCGTATACACTTTCTAATAACATACTTCTGTTTTAAGCCATCTTGTAGTATACAATATCATTCGTGAACTACATATGTTTTAACCCCAGTGGTTCATTATAATGACATATGTGTGTTTCATCCGCCCATATATGTACTATGAAAAAGTACACGTCTTCGTGCACACCTTATAAACTATTTGTTGTAATCTTACCTCTGGTGCACACATGCAGTCTTTGTTTTACCAAAACTGTAGCAGTAGAGGGTAAGAAGTCAAGAAAAGAATACTTCGCGCGAACAATGTTTGTGAATAAAAAGTCATTGCAAAGTCCGGAACAATAAGTGTTCAGCTTCCCTCAATAGATCACTTGATACGTTTTCATCAATAATGCAACGAAAGGTTTATCTCAAAATGCTACAATGACCTCCAGGGGACAATATGGAGAGCTTAACTAGGTATAACAATAACTATAATATATGAGTGTTCTGTACATACGTGTGTGCGTTCGTGTAGTGTACGTGTCTTTGTCTGTGTCTGTGTCTGTGTCTGTGTCTGTGTCTGGGTCTGTGTCTGTGTATGTGTGTGTGTACCATTAAACCCAAAATAAAAAAAAAGATTCATGCACAAAATCCAAATGAAGATGGATAGTTTCTTTATTGAATATATATTTTTTTACAGATATGTTAATAGCAGGGCATGAATGTGCTACCTTGAAGCCTGTCTCTCTGACACTATTTTATAATTAGTGGGTGCATAGACAGTCAGAGCCTACGCGGATACAGCCTATCTCAAACAATGCTCGAAATTATCAAATTTGCTTGGTAAACTGTCTTGCATATGAGCTTAACAGAATCTCAGAAAGGCACATAGCTGAATGTCCCTTAGGAACAACTGCTTGGCAAAATAAGATCAGCATGCACCAGACATAATTAATATTCTGTGTTTTCTGTAATCAATGTTCCCCTTTCATATATTCCAGGAATAGTAACTCGGCCAACACAAAAAATCAAAGAATGTGTAGTCTCCGAACATAGTGTTCGGTTTTTCTCCACTTTTGATGACACTGAAAGCCGTCTTCTTGTGTAGACATACATATATCTTGATTAGGTATTTCTTGCGCCCCGCAGATCAAATATATTTTTGCCATACTGATGCCTTTCAAAGCATAAACAAGACAAAAAGCAAGGTTTAGAATAACTGACTTCTTTCTTTTGAACGAAACTAATACTAGTAATTGCCATGCATTCAAAAGTAGCAATAAAAGCGAGTCTTCTGATTTACCATTATCGATCATGCCAACCTCATCAAACAGTTACATGGGACAATAGTGGCAAGTAAACGAGAAAACTCTCATATTTAGGAACATAATGTTATTATATAAATTTGGTTTTCAAGCTTGCTGTTTTTGTTCAGTGAATGTATTTCTCACAATTGATGTGTCAGTAGTTCTACAGATATCTAAGACTGCTTCGGTTTTGCCTATTATGCTTAGCAAATACCTACCACAGAACCACAGAACCACAGAACCACAGTACCACAGTACCACAGTACCACAGAAGCAGAAGACTAACGACTTTCCTTCTCTCAGGGTTCAAGGCATACAACAACTTCTTTTGAAGGAATTGTTTTTGTATTTCTACTTTTACCAGTAGATTGGTATTTTACATAATATTGAAAAGATTGAGATTGAGATTGTCATTATCATGTTAGAAACCCTCGTGGTTTGATAAAAGCATATGTGTACACAGGTTGAAAAGCATGTCCTTATATTTCAAAATGGCTTACAACGGTATTAAATTAACCTCAACCAACACTATTTTGGTCCATAAATTGCCCATCAACTATTCTACTTCAAAAACAATTACTGAAATATTAATACTACCCTGTACATGGTTTAAACATTCATGTGCGGTATTTTTCTGTTATCCGATTTATACCGAATGAAATAATATTTATTATAAATATTTGACTTATCATATCTGTATTTTGGCTGATGCTGCATCAGCGGTTTTGAAAACAGTTTCTAGATATTTGTATCACTTAATCAAAATGCAGACATTTTCTTTTTGGATTTGCTTAAAACACAAACGTATCACTTGCTACATAATATTTCAAGAGATAAAACATGTATATCACAATTTGATGGACGGATTAACAATTAACTTTGATTCTACTACACAATCATTTATACAACATCACAGATTGCATTAACAATGTGCAAGTATGGAACACATGTACAAATTATGCATATGGGTTATACTAGTGTAATTTTCAACCAACCGCAGATTTTAACTAATTAAATGTTAAATATGTTAAACACAATTAACATTTGTTTGGAACTGTTCATCTAATAAAATAATTGTCTGATACAATGTGAAGTCTGTGCAGAGGTACATTTTGCAAATAACTATTGTAAATATAAGCATTGTTGTCATATTCCATTAAAGCTGACGTTACCTTAAAAAAGGATGCTCATACCCTTTACTTTATTTTCAATTAAAAAATATTTCGAATTGAAAACTTTAAAATTAGTGAGCATTGAAAGGATAAAATAAGTCGACAAGTGTTCAAACAATGAGTTGTCTACGTCCGCCATATATCAGCAGTTACGTCCAGGAAGGCGTGCAGCAGTTGAGAAAAAAGGAGATTTTAAAACATCTCTAAAAATAACAAACGCAAAAAGACAACTAGTAAATGTTGAAAATCAGCAGTAAACAATTGTACGTAGATCAGCTAGGACATTCAAATGAAAAAAACAAACGCTATAGTCTACCCATCATACAAAGCATCAATACTATTCTTATACTTGAAATTGAGGGATAATGAATGTAGGTCACGGAAAACATTTCTCAAATCTTAAATACGAATTCAAATGAATCAAACTTGTTTCTGCCTTTCCAAGTGACTTCGAATATACCTTTCTTCAAAATCAGTTAATCCTTAAAACCAAAATGAAGTCAATCGTTTCGATTTATATTATACTTAACACTCTCCTTGGACAAATATAAACCTGTCCCACATCGGATATGAGTTATTTACAATCAACAACATTATACATGACGACAACACATATTTACAACGTCTGTTCTGTATCTAACAAAGTGCGTGTTCAAACGTGTGAAAATATAGAATTTTGTGAAAGACATCATTCGTGAAACATCCCTCGGTAAGCTACCCAGTGCCATTTCATCACTAATTATCCCATTTCATATGACATTAATGTATAAAGAGACGGTTCCTTGGCTAGATGCCATATGGTGTTTTCCTGCAGTCCTGTCAGACATAAGCCTATTTGCTTTTGGAAATATTTCAGAAGCCTGAATACTGTGAATCTTTTAGGCAGCAACAAAAGATAATGTTTATACAACAAAGCCATGCCTGCGTTTGTACAAAGCATCTGTACAACAACTTGCCATTATTTGGTTTGATTGATATTCTTGTTTGTGTAATTAATGCGCCAAGTGTTCTTACTTTCGCAGTTTGTATGGTGTAGTGCATTACGTTTGCTTGATATATACGTTAACATCAAATCCTGCAACACAAAGGAATTATTCGTTGAACTGTTGCAGACTGTAAGTTTACAAATAAAGCGCCTTCATCCCAAAAGCAATTTGGAATTGTTCATTAACAAACCTATCAAATTGGTATACATGGACCTAGCCAAATATCCCAAACCACGCCCCAATATGACTTGCTTATTCAATCATAATCTTCTGGTCCTGATGAATCCCGTTTTGGTTGTTGTCCACTTGTGGCTGCTCGAAACCCCCATATTTCTCCACCTCTCGCATCTTATCTTTGTCCTTGTCGTCGTCTTTGCCGAAAGTTGTGTCATCCTTGATCCCAGTAGCGTCCCAGACCTTCAGACTGCCGTCATACGATGCCGTGAACAGGCGCCCGTCAACAACCTTAAAATAATCATCAGCCCAGGTCAGGTAAATGTTGATTGAAAAACAATTCTGCTAACTTGTTACAGTTAAAATGTTTAAATGATCTGTTATGTTCTTTTTACAAAGAAATACCATTCCATTGTATAATGAACTTTAGAGGATGAGTGTTTGAGTTTAACTGTAACGTCGCATGAACTATATATCTCAGCCATATAACATATGAATGGATTAATAGTACATAGCACTGATATTAAACATAACATGTTACACCGTTTTGTACAGGAAGTTGTTACATTATGTTTTCTATATTCAGAAAAGTTAATAAATACAGATCGCTTTTCTAAAAATGACAAATGAATTTATCACGTGGAATGCAATATTTCAGATGCACATTCTTCACAATGAACATGCAGATGAGAAATGAAAAACATACGATAGTCGAAGGGATATAGATGAGAATACTCGCATGAAGATGCTACAGTCATCTGTAGGTTCTGTGCTCAAAGTGTCAACGTGATCAATAAAACAATTTGAAAAATGTACATATTAGGCAAGCACCTTACTGAGATTTGCTACGTACAATACATATAGAACAATTTCTTTTTCATCACATTACAAAGTATCAGTTTATCCTTGATATTACCTACTAACAAAAACGAAAGAAGATAAATGATATCCAAATTTCCCGGCCGTAACACATCAACCAATTATACTGTGAACGTACGTTACTATGCAGAAGGAATCGGTTTACAGTTTGTAAATGGATAATAATATAAAAAACATAATGATACTTTCAGTGTACAGTTTAACGTTAATTCCATATGGAGGTCGGGATTTCAAAGAAAATACCTGAAAAATTGTCAAATACAGTGGTCGCATGCTGGCATTTAGTATTTAGTATCGATATGTGACGTAATTGCATTTTGAAACAATAAACAGGTGTTCATATAAAGGTTTTGGAAAGGGAATTATGTGAACTTCATATTTACTCGTGTATTGCTTTGAATAAATCATGCGTTTACGTTACGTCGGAAAAGAGGTTAAGGATTGCCTTAATGTGATCACGTGCTCTAAAGGGGGATAATCATTGGGTATCAAGTAAAAACATGCTGCATCCGTGGCTAACCTCAATACCAGTGACAGCGAATTCATGGCCATTATAAAACCGCTTCAATGTGGCAGATTTCAGATCAAAACACCCAACCAGACAATCTCCGGCGCCGGTAAACACTTTGAGGGAACAGAAGAAAAGGCTACAGGTAGAGATGATGAAAGACAACGAAGCACAACATTGATGGAACACATATATACAAGGAACACACGTCAGATGCAATACACAGGTGTGTATATCACTATTATACATCTTGGACTATTTCGTGAAAGTACATCTAAGCATTGATGCAATAGACTAGCGCATGTTCAGTTGCACATCTTGTGAACAATGTTGCAGTGAGACCGTTTGTTTGGATGCAATATTCAATACTAAAACATTGCATTTAGACCTGTTATTCCAAATCATAAGATCATAAGATGTCATTCTTGTTGGTCGTGACGTCATGTTACGTTATACTAACAGGTAACACATGACGTAACGAGAAAAGTCACATGCTAAAAACACACCAGAACCACCCAAACAGTGAAATAGACTACGTGACTGTCAAAACAAAACCATTTAGGATTACTACCGACCAGAAGTTGTATGTTGCAACCCAATCAAATATCCATCTTTCATCACTTTTATCAAACATTCCTTTCATGGGAGCTTTTACGTTTTCTGATCTCGATGGTACTTACAGGTAAGGGCTACACAATTTGGTAGCTCAGTGTGATATGTTAGTCTCCCAGACCCTAGAGAATGCATTTAAGAAAAGAATAAAAACTCAATTCGAGAATGATTTGGCAAGTCTATATTGCCTCAGTTCTCGGGTGAAATTAAGAATCGTTCTGAGGTCCATTTGGAATTTACTTTTTTGTTTTCATATGAATATGTTTAAATAAGGTAACTTTATGTCTGGGACTAAATGTTAGTCTGATGCTATATTCACACACTATTTAATTATACAAAACTCTGAGTATACAAACTCACAATATATAATTATAAGGGCCTGTTCTGACAGTCACAATAATAGCACACCACACAACGAGGTATATATGTAAGTAGACAGAAAGGGTCTATAGATGAAGAGATTCTACAAGCCACACAGTTATATCATGGCTATAGCAATGACCTGCAAAGCTGTGACGGTACTCTCGTGAGCGAGAAATTCCCGTTTTAAGGCGCCACTCTTGGCGTCATAGCATCGACACACAGAGTCGCCACAAGCTGTGTAAACTGGAAAACAATTTTTCAGATTATATAAAGAACAATCTTCCCATGAATAATATTCCTAATCGATGGAGTGAGCCTAAAAATGTATATGTCATATTGAAAACTTCTTTTATTTAACTTGTCGTATGATTGTTAAAAAGTGAATCATTTGTGTCAATGCGCACAGTAAAGCATCCTTTGGTAAAACAAATTTCAAGGCTTAATACCAAATAAACTGCTAGCCCACCGAGGAGACATGCCACAGTTTAACATGAATACCCCACACAGACACATGATACTGACTCCGAGCCGACCAGTTCTTGTTTTATCCCCGTAATCCCGAACGCCAAGCAAGGTAACAACAGGTACCATTTTAACGCCTTTAGGTATGACGCGGCCAAGAAATGTAATATGATATAATATAATATAATATAATATAGTATAGTATAGTATAGTATAGTATAGTATAGTATAGTATAGTATAGTATAGTATAGTATAGTATAGTATAGTATAGTATAGTATAGTATAGTATAATATAATATAATATAATATAATATAATATGATTTATCATTACGACCATAAATAGCTTCAAACCCCTTTTATTATGATAACAATTAGTTGGCTACATACCCATGCCGTCGAACACCTTGATGACACTGACTGTATGCTTGTGGCCTCTGTAGACACGGGTGCAGTCGCCGAACTCAGTAACCCAGGACCGTCCGGTGTGGTCGGAGCTGCCGGTGTACATGATCTTGTTGACAACCTGGGCAAGAATACAACGATATACCGATATGGAGGAGAGAAACATACGTCACTTATATTATATAGCTAAAGATTAACCTTTATCCACAAGATACTCATGTGTAAGAATGTAAGGACTATAAGAGGAGAATAGAGCAGTGTGTATGTATGGAGGCAGGGAGTATTAGAGCAGTGTGTATAATAGAGCAGTGTGTATGTATGGAGGTAGGGAGTATTGGAGCAGTGTGTATGTATGGAGGTAGGGAGTATAAGAGCAGTGTGTATAATAGAGCAGTGTGTATGTATGGAGGTAGGGAGTATTGGAGCAGTGTCTATGTATGGAGGTAGGGAGTATTAGAGCAGTGTGTATAATAGAGAAAGTGTGTATGTATGGAAGCAGGGAGTATTGGAGCAGTGTGTATGTATGGAGGTAGGGAGTATTAGAGCAGTGTGTATAATAGAGCAGTGTGTATGTATGGAGGTAGGGAGTATTGGAGCAGTGTCTATGTATGGAGGTAGGGAGTATTAGAGCAGTGTGTATAATAGAGCAGTGTGTATGTATGGAGGTAGGAAGTATTGGAGCAGTGTGTATGTATGGAGGTAGGGAGTATTAGAGCAGTGTGTATAATAGAGCAGTGTGTATGTATGGAGGTAGGGAGTATTGGAGCAGTGTGTATGTATGGAGGTAGGGAGTATGTTTGCTTACTTGCATCAAAAGGCTTATTACTCCCATAAAATTCCTTACTAAAAGCAACGTATACCCCGAAAGCATGCACTAAACACTAAGTTTACCCTTAAATGTACTCCTATGAGTGAGTGTACTCACGCAAATAAAGGTAAAACTGCTTTGCGTTCGCATAGTTATATTGAAAAGGGAGTACCTTCATATAGGCAATAACGTTTATTAATGGAAGCCAATATGGAAAGGCTGTTATCTTACAATAGAAAACTTGGCAAAAACATGAAGTGAACTTCCTTGCGATTTACGTCACGTCTAGACGGATGCTTTTCTAAAATGATGACCACAGTTTTAAACATTAAAGTCCAATATGATAGTGAGCAGGGACCAATGTTAGAATCTACATCGAAACGTCACCTCAACGGTGACAAAGAAGTATCTGTAAAATGGATTCTTGTCCATCTTATCAATTTGCGTCCGCATGACCAATTTACATATGGAGAAAATTTGTGTAAATATACTTTTGTATCGCTCCGAACGAGGTGTCCATTAGCTCCAGCAGTAACGTTACCTTAGTCCGCATATCTCCTCACAGGTGTATATTTACTTAAGTGAGTGGATTTACACACGTCAATGTCATACTTCAAGCGTTCGTTAAGTGTCAACATTTCGCAGACAAAAACATATTGAGAAAAACTGCCATCTTAGCAAAGTATGATTTAACGTCAACGTGCGCCAGAACGTAGGTTCCTGAGCCCAACCTGCCGTATTATCAGCATCCCCGTAACACGCCTCCATCGTTGCTCGGACTATATGTGCACTAAACACCCATGACGTATGCTAGGTTGTCTCGTGCATGCCTATTGTTATGATAGATACCCTTTAGTCTTCTATGTCAATAACGCAGCGCGTCACCGACTTATCTCTACCATGTCAATGTGTTGTTGCTATGGTCCGCTCCAAACACATGGACACTTGTAGAAATCGTTAATGTTCTCGTTATCTTCTGCATGTTTTTTTCAGGCCATAGTAGGTTAACGACGAAATGTTTTCCTTTTTACCCTGGTAAATCTATATTCTGCTTTCTAACTTAAAACTTAACTTCACCCTTTTTCAGGAAATACGAAGATCTGTGATTTTTTAAAGCTTTTTGTTTAGATCTGCAAATGTTAAGGCACAAGTATTGCCGAAGGAACTACGCCGTTCTTTTGAATCCAGCAGATATGTGAATTAATCCTCAGTATTGTTCCCCACAACGATCAGAATGTATTGGAATGTATTACTTGTTCATTGAAACGCGCGGTGTTCAAAGATAAGTGGCTTCAACTAAAGACATCGAGCAACCTTCGCAGCGTCGAAATACACAAATCCCATGAAATATTATTGTCACCAAATAATTTTTATCTTTAGCTGACAACTGCGTCCTTTGACACTTCTGCTATAATTTAATATCTTTTAAGATAAAAAATTATTCTAGAATTTTGTCGTCACGTGCCAGGGTCACGTCTGTTTAATGCCGAACTGGGAATATACAAACGACATTGTTATCACTTGATAAGTAATAAGACTTCGCTGCAAAGGTTGTACAATATCAACCATCACTTCATAAAGACAAGACCTGAAGTGGAGGCGTTATGATATAGATGTCTGATGACGTACACCGCGTGGCACTGACGCAACAGGTGGGGATGACTCGGACGGGCAAGATGGTAGTCGGTTGTTTCTATCGAAGATACAGACCTGTCAATAACTGAGCATGGACTAATCAGTGATTGATATCACGAGCAAGGTACCATGCCATCGGGGTACGATGACACACTTAATAACCAAGTCACCAAATCTGACATTCTGATCCATTTGATAATAATAACGTGTACTTCTTTTGGCGCCAGCATAGCCGAAAACTTTGAGTTTTCATTTGAGAGGTATGACTTCCCTTAACCTCAGACACATAGAGGTAAGATGTGAGGGTAGAGATATGTTAAAGATAGGGTAAATAAATGCTGTTCGTTTTGTGGGATCTCCGATGTTGTAGAAAGACCTCCTTAATACCCTCGGAGAAATACAACCACATCAACATCAACATCAACATCCTAACCACATCCAATGGACATATTTTCACATATGCTGAAACACTTCAATTTGCTTGAGTTCATCAAATGGCTCTGAATGACATATTCATACTGAGTTTTCACATTTCCTAGGTAGAGAATTATTTGCCAGATGCTATCAAAAGATTTTGTCTTGATCAATACGAGGAGAGGCAAGAGAGAAATACTTTGTTTAAAGGTTTAATAACATGTTTAAAGAGCTGTACATGTTTGTCGATGTGTAATCCCGCGCCAGAACTGTGCCCCAAATCAATCCCAAAGCTTCGAATGTTTCAGCACTGAATGTGTTAGATGCCGTTTCCATCGATCATGTTCTCGACACCCCAAGTTGTGAACCCTGCTCCACATTATGTTGTTTCCGCTGTACGTTGCTTCGCATAAAAGCTTGTTTCGTGAGTAGTTGATGTATATGAATACACTAACTAACAATATGGCCTCCATGTATGATGTCGTAACTGGCTATAAGTAACCCTTCTATGCGTTGGTTTTCATTACAATTTCGACACCAGAGAAAAATGCTGACCATCCACGTAAATGCATGGAAATCTGAAGTAACTATCAATCCTGACGAAATGGAACTATGGCGTTTCCATGACAACCCTCTCAATGAGTAACTTAATATATTCCTTAACCCTTAGAGTTGTTACATATCTATTTTATATGCACATTGAGGTAAAGAATACAGGGACAGATTTAAGAAAGGTCACACATGAAAACGTATACCAATTCAAACTGATATACACTGCTAACTGACTGAACTGCGTTTAAATAGCCAGCACTTTGACCAAAACGTGTACACTGCTTGGAAAGGACTGACATCAGCGTAACTAAGCCGTGTAACGCATTTCAAGAAGGATTTGAGTTATGACGTTCTAAAAATAGCACTATGTCATGCAAACATGTTTGTCGGTTTACTGCTTTTCCCCCAAAGCAGGTACATTCAAAAGTCATGAGTGCAATATTTTGTTGGGAGTTATTACTAAGTGTCCACAAGGAGTCCGAACGAAGACGTTAATTCACTTGGGACAGGAAGACTTTACAAACGGAGCGGGCACTAATTCGTCTTTTATCTACAATCAGGGAGAATATTCAAAGACTATTTAGACTCCCTGCTTAGAATAACACGGATCTGATTGCAGTAAATGAGTGAGTTGGGTTTAACGCCGCGTTTAACAGTATTCATGTTCTATCACTTCTGTCAGCTCAATATGGGAGGAAAGCCCGAAGGATCATAGGGTTCTGGCGTGCCCAAGGGACGCAATTCTGCACAGCCAATTGCGGTGCCTCAGATTTGATAGCAGATCATGATATTATGATTAACTAAAATAATTTTAACTCTGCAAACTAACGTGTAATGGTGGTTCAAGAAGAATATCCGTATTGTGTAAACAACGCATTATAAATATTACTCAACATTTTGTATGTAAGCCATGAGAACAGGGGACAATGTATATTTGTCAATAAGAAAATACCCAACAGACAGAAGCCAGGGAGTAAAGCTATATTGACTACTCCCCCAAACAAGCTCGAGAACCTATCTGTGACCATGTCAGTATATGGCATATTGAATAGTGACTAATTGACTAATACTACATTTCAAACGTTTCCTTTCACAAGCCTCAAATTCAGAGCTGACGTACACAAAACATACATGAAATAATATTCACAAAACATACATGAAATAATATTCAAGTGTTTATCACCAGATGTATGCACAAAGATTCTATTCTTTCAGAAAGAAGAACAAAAAACAACTCTTCCTGAAAGTGAAGGTTTTTATGATATTTTGCTGGCTATGTTTCTACCAGGACCAGAAAGGAAAGAATTTGAAATCGATAAGAATGCTTGTAAATGTAATAATGGCGTCTTCAGCAGCTAGCATTAGATCTGACAAGTGAGGATTCTGAAGAGATAGACGACTTGACGGCGCCATCACGAGCAGTTCACCATATGCAGTTTACATCCATGGATAAACATAACGTTTCATTAAAATAGAAACTTTGTCTGTTTGACATTTCTATATGTAAACATCAGGCGATACACTTCCCGACAGGGATTTCATGACAAGCAAATGAAATAAAGCTACCTGTGTCATTTTACCTCTATGCAGGTTCTTTGTGATTCGTCATTCCAATTAGAAACAACTAATATACATAGAGCATTGGTGGTACTATGAACCACTAGATCAGAGCAGCTAGAACCAAGCAAAGCCCGCATTAATGTCAATATGGTGTGTTTGTTGTTAAACGCCGCACTCCATTCCAGTTAAATATATATATATGAAGGCGGTCTGTAAATAATCGAGGCTGTACGAACCAATCCAGTGAGGGACATGATGACATGCATCAACCAAGTCAGTGAACTTTACGACAAGCGTGAGTTACTGTAGGAGGAGTGAAACAACACAGCCATTAACGTAACATACCTGCATACAAATGACAGCCCCCTGGTGGCCCGAGAACATCTTAAGCTGGGTGCCCTTGAATAGATTCCAGCTGCGCACGGTGAAATCTGTGCTTCCGGTAAACAGCACTCGGCCGGTTGGGTCGACACTCATGCACGTGACGGCCCCTCGGTGCCCCTTGAACATCTTCAAGCAACATCCGGTATCGAAGTTCCACGACCTGGCGGTGAAATCAGCCGACCCAGTGATGAGGATATCCCGCCCTCCATCCAGATCCTGGTCGTCTGCAAGTTCGTCCTCATCGGCTGGGATGAAAATGAGAGGGTATACACCTCTCTTGTGGCCACGAAACACCCGTACATTATCCCCCGTATCAAAATCCCAGCATCGGGCGGTACGATCATACGAGCTGGTGAATACAAAGTCTCCGGTGCAGATCATACGGTAGATCAGAGAGCAATGACCACGCATCACAAGTATGCATTCGCACGTTCCGACATCCCACTTCCGGATGGACCTGTCTGCACTTCCGGTGAGGACATAACAGTCCTCAATAAGGATACAATTGATGTAGTCTGTGTGTCCGCGGAGGATGCCGATACATTCACAATACTCCGTTCTAGTGCTCCATAGCCTCGCTGTTTTGTCCTCGCTGCCTGTGGCCAGAACAGACCCGTCTTCACTAAGGGCCATACAGTTGATGCCAGCCTCATGTTCGAACAAAGACTGCACCAAGTACTTGCCTGCCTCTTCCTCTTTAGATGAACAACCACCCATAGTTATTTATGTTATCACAGCGCTCTTCAACAATATGTTCGTGTTAATGTAGAGTATTCTCAAGTGTACCAACACGATATTCGATGTCTGGTCAATGTGTTGTTGCGTTTGGCTGATACTTGTAACGATCAGCAACAGTAGTTATCCTTTACGGTTATCCATACAGGTAAAAGCGTTGAAGACAGGGCAAAAGCTCCATAACGAATGTTCACACGATGGTTCTGAAACAAAATGCAATACCCATTACAAAGTGTAGAAGCATAACGTAGTTTAATCAAATGTAACACTATCCTGAACCTATTGAGATGTCACGTAGTCATTGTGCCTCTGAACCCATCGTTGCACAATTTTAGGCAAACAAAATTTGTCAAAATATCTTATGAGTAATAGCAATGATAGACATCATCATCATTAATACAAGTTGATTATTATCATGTAAGTTTGTAATTAATAACCCATATTCTAAATTACAAAACCACCTGCATGGCCTAGTGGTTAACCCCGCCTGGCCTTATGCATTAAGAAGCTATAACAAGGACTGGTCGGCTCGGGGTCAGTATACTGTGTGGGGTATACTGTGGTATCTCAGTGGGTAAGCACACAAACACACACTCAGACACACACACGCGCGCTATAAGAGTGTAATAATCTTGAACGGGACGTTAAACCCAGTTTAACCTCATCACCTAACGTCCAAATATGTACACCAACGACGGATTATCTTGTCATCAAAAGATGGTTGCATCTAGGTAATATCCTGAACTAAACAAGTCGAAATGTATAACGAATGTCAGCTGATAATGAACTCCTGGCCATGGTTCGTGATGTTGTTTTCGACAAGAAGACGGACAAGAAGCATCTATAATAGAGGCCGAATATCTATATTCAGGCATTGAACTATCAGGTACAAAATGACATTACATTGACGGCAATCGTACACGTTTCAATCTTTTGAAAATATAATATATTCAGTCAATTAAAGCGATAGGTTGCAAGAAGATGCACTAATAGTTATACATTGACACTTGGTGTCTGTGAAATCGCTGAGCATGCCATTGCCTACCGTCATGCGACGAATTTACATGTCATTGCCTACCGTCGTGCGACGAATTTACATGTCATTGCCTACCGTCGTGCGACGAATTTACATGTCATTGCCTACCGTCGTGCGACGAATTTACATGTCATTGCCTACCGTCGTGCGACGAATTTACATGTCATTCTCTACCGTCGTGCGACGAATTTACATCTTACTGCCACATAGAACTACTACATCGTTTGTCACAATCTGACAACAACATGTAACCAATACAAACGGCACCACTGCATTGTAAATTACGACTTTAACGGACATTAAGTTATAGCAGGCATGCTTGATACTGGCAAATCAGCAGGTAATGTATGAATCATGCTGTGAGTGTATTGATCCTCATTGAATTGCTCGTTGCCTACCCCGGTCACATAAACACGTCAAATTTGTTAATGTTGTCGGTTCGGTTCCACCGACATTGGCCATGATGACCGGGTTACGTGGCTACACGCGCTAGTTATTGAAGGAAAGTGTCCCCACTAATTATCGTCCAAATGACGATGTTTCCACTGTCGCCGGTCAAGACTAGCTAGCCCCGCATGCACTAACACTAACAAAGAACATATTTTCAAACATTTCCAGATGCGTCACTGAAACTCCATACACGCGAATTGAACATCCTAGTATGCAAACAATGTTCCTGTCTTGTTTCATCAAAACCATGTTTCGTGAAAATATCGGAACAGCCATGTTCACCGTTCAGAAGCTGAAGCAGTGTCAGTCACACTTCCTTAATGGCGACACTTGCACCACCATCCTTTCCAGCAGCAACAACTCCGGTGAATTGAGTAACTTGTTTGTTCGTACATGTCAATCGATTTGGTTGGCAGAGTCCTGGGCAGAGCTCCTGGTAAGCGTGTTGCAGAGCTGCTGAAGAAAACCCACGGTTACCCTGAACCTTAAACCTCTTAGCATGGAAACAAAACACAATAGGAACACCTATTGTAAAGCTTCATCCGGTTGTCTGCAAACGGCTCTGGGATAGTCAGGGACGACAATCAATACCAACGTTTGAAGTCGATGCCGCCATTCAAGGTTGTCATGGAGACCATCAACAATGATAGGAGGCAGATTTAAATCGCCCCAGACCAAAATGTCAATTGGAGAGCCGGAGAAACTATCTGACTGATTGCAAATAGATGTCAATGCTGTTGATTGTGTCTGATTTTTACCTAAATGACTGACTGTGCTTACCGTTTGATATGAGAAAACACGACTTAATATAAAAATTGTGGGTCAAACAGCGTGTAATCTAAACATAGGTTGCAGAGAAATGTGGATTCTAGTTCATGTAACATAACGTTAATATATAGTTGTAAAAGATAGTGTGCACCTTTTGTATATTTGGTATTACAAAATTGTAGTTTCAATAGCTTAATAGGTGCAGAATGCATACCACACTGCTTGTGTCAAACTGTGTTTATATCCGCCGAGTGGGAATCCAATCTGCTGTGAAATAAACAGATCCGGACATGACAAAGTCGTTTGTATCGAAGTCGGTTATATTGAACCCAATATTGTTACGCGAACAATGGGAATGAACTCATTTGTTTCATAAGAAAAGAAATTTCGCTAATAAAGGTCCCATGGAGGAGAAGGCGTGATTCATCTCACATCGATATCGACAACACGACAACAACCAAAACAAGGAAGGAATTGATTAGACATAAATAGCAATACCTAATCCATAAAACACCACGTCACTGCTGTTCCTTGAGTTAAACATGTGTCATTCGAAAACAAGAGAACACATTTTGAATTGAACACATATAATGTGTCTGTAAAATCCTTCAGTTACAGTTTCCGCAAAATATTGTAATTTCTAGACATGCCTTGCACACACTTGAAGTGGGTACGTTTTTCCCTTGGCTGGTCACATCAATACGAGCTGAGTCAACGGATACACGTTACCGCGAAGTACGTTACCAAATTTGTGACGGTGTGATAAAAGTTTGTATATTTCTCAGAAAAAAGTGAATGCTTGTTGTGATAGTTCCAAATGGCAATGAGACAATTGTAAAGGAAATAGTCTGTTACCTGACAGTGTGTGAAAGTGTGATAACGCATATGTTATGAATGGTAACGTATATGTTTCAATGTCATACCATACCATATAAGGTATGTGAATAATTTCAATGAATTCATTTCACTTAGATCGAGTGAACAATGATGAAAACAAGTTAAACAAAAACATGTAAAAGAAACTTGTTGCCAAATGGGCTGATTCGGTTTCAGTGAGTTTGTTTATTGACACCTTTTTGCTTTTAAGTTCCTAAATAAGAAACACAACACCTTTAAGGTCTACTTTAGTTTTTTTAGCACAGATAGCAAAGATACGTAATTTCTCTCATCTCATCATACGCCCTAGCATATGTGATTCTCACAAATGATACGTGTTCTGTATTTCCAAAATTAAGACTTAAGAATAACTGAAGAAAAATATTTATGCAACGAAAAGTTTGTATAATTCAAAAGCATTGTACATATATTAATATGTATTTTTCTTCAATAAGAAATGTCATTTTAAAAATATCACAAGAAACACTCGTTAACAGGTGTACCCGCGTACGAGTCTAGTTCTTCATATTTCGACTATGTTATATGCAGGGGAGAAGGAATCAAAGAAGTCTCATATTCTTCATACAAGATTGACAAATTCTCACACTGACTATTATCAGGTAACCATCTCTATTTTAGAAGATGTGTTTTGTTCAACAATAACTGGTGCCTAATCCCAGTGGAAAGAAAAAACCCATAAAGTCAAACACCATTTTGTTCCACCATTTGTTTCATCTTACTACCAACATAGCTGACATGCTGACATACAGGACTCAATAACCGACACATAATTGAATTGTCTCTGTCTCTAGATGGTTCATAGTACAGACATAATGATGTTACATCACATACAACTCGTTTTGGTGTGTAGGAATTGGTTTGGTATTTATGCAATATATAGATATTAAGATAACCATGTTAACTGAATGCAGCGGTTCCCTTCGTAATTAACACTACGTCCCCGGCGCCGGGTAGGTGAAGAACGGGTATCACTTATGTATGAGCTGTTCTCGTTAGAGGAAACCATTGTCTCACAAGTAGGGCTGGAAGTGTGAAGACTGACACTTTCCGGAATCAATCTTTCAAACCTATGTGTAACAAAATGGCCGTGGGAACAAGATACAGAGAGGGCTAGCCAAGATAGAAAATGTCACTTGGAGGTCATGTGCTGACCTCATGACCATGTGACCTTCACCTTGATTGTTTGTCGAAACCATGATCTAATCGGTCTTGTCTCTTCTGTCCATAAGGAAATGTCTGTGTGACAACATATTGCCTCGTAATATTAGTGGAACTGTAAATAAGCATACGAGTAACACTCTCAAATCAATATCCTTTTATTCTGTTCGTACATGTTGGCCGATCGATAATTAAACCTTCAACAAACCACTTTACCATTTCTTACCAAACATATATAATGCATTGTTTTTGCTGTGGTTTACATTGTCGTCCATGCCTTTGAAAAGTATTATATGTGTGGTTTTAAGTATAACTTTCATTCCATTTAAAAAAAACGACGAGCGATAGTTGTTTATCGTTCAATGAAACACTACAGGGAGAATAAACCATGAGGGGCGCAGGCCCGAGTGGTTTATTCTCCCTGCAGTGTTTTATTGTACGATAAACAACGACCATGAGTCGTTACTTTCTAATATGATATATCAACATTATTTACAGCCCCTTTAAGAATGTTAATAAAATGTACAAGCTTTAAAATTATTTACCCGTATTTTAATACTCCCTAAAGCTTCCTGAATAGATTCCTATCTCGGCAATGTAGGACAAGTCCATTTTATGAACAGGAGGGATAAGTTTGGTATTTCCCGCATATTCTTACAATATTCACGTTGATTATCTGTACCTCCTGTGCCACTTTTGAATGCGATCGATCAGCCACTGCCCAGTTATATCTATGGAGAACAACTCACTAGACACTTTCCTCTGAAAAATAACTTCGTCCAGTATAACGAGCGCATGTGAGAATCTCCGGAAATGACATCATCATAGAACAATGTTTTATCGTGAAATAAACCACGCTTCGTTTTTCACTGTTCTTTGTGAGTTATCGTGTAGCTATCTTATATAACCGTGGATGAAACTTGGAACATGACACTTGATCCGAGCGCTGTCCCATTTGCAATACTGATGCCTCTTCAGAACAGGAATTAATAGTCCTCACTGCATTTGTACATGGGTTTAACGAATGTTATCTACGGTTCATAGATTTCATGCATCATTAATGGCGGTAGTTTATTTGCGTCATGAGATTTCGTCAATAATCTTACATTCGCTGTACCCTTAACAATAATTTGCACACGTGTGTAACATTAAACTTAACAGGCAAACATACAATAAGAGCAATTTCCTCGATTGTTTCACTTTAAAGTAAAACACTGAACATTTACTTTTGTTGTGCATTGCAACTGGGCAACGCAATCGACCAAACATGTTCACAAGCCTTTGTAAATACACATGCCAGTTTTCCAGGAGAAACCACTCTTTAATCGATTATAAATTTCACTTTTCAAGCAACACACAAACAGATTCTGAATGCCCACACAAACACAACTTGCATAAGTAAAATGAAATTACACTTTCTTATCAGTAATGTATTAATTCAAATTGTGAGACTGAATAAATAAATATCAGGAAGAACACATTTAAACAAACAACGGACATTAGAGAAGCTATTCCACGAAGTGTATTTCTTTCGAATGTCTTCATGTTCATGTTCAATTATCGTAAAGTCTTCACAAGTTAAAAACTGGCCAAGTGTTATTTTCAACTGTCACCAAATAATGCTTTCATATTAACTTTCCAATCAGGGTCCTATGTAGTTAAGTACTTAAAGTGCTCGCTCGGCACACCAAAGAACGGGGTTAAGAAAACAAACGTAACAAATGTTATATTTGGGATAACACTTCTCAGTAAAGTACTGCTGGGCAGAGTCCCATCTTGGATTCGAACCCACACTGCCATTGTGTGTTCATGGTTAAGAAAACAATTTTACATGTACATGTAAAAAGAATCCATAACTTTTCTACTTTGGATGAAATATGGATTGGAAGACAGATTTTGTTCTGGAGAGCATATAGATAAATGACTGCATTATGATTAAAAAAACTCTCATTTTTGTAAAATGATCAATTTTCTCCTAAGCATCATGAATAATATTCCTGTAGACATAAGCAAGCTACCAATTCAGCTTTCAAAATCCATGATAAAATATCGAATACTTAAGCTGACCCACGCCAGTCATGACTATGGTATAACGTGGCAGGGACGCTCCATCAAGAGGAAAGCTTCTCCTGGCCTCAATTGGGGGGGAATAACGACGTGAGCTGCTAATCTACCTGGTGGATATCACGCTCCCGACTCATGTATCATTGATACCGTCAATGACGATCAATAGGCGTCCCAAACAAGCAGTGATGCTGGGATGCACCGAAATATGGCGATATGGCCACAATGCTCAGTCAGTTCGCTCACGTCTTTCATGAGATCCATAATAAACCACAATTCAGTTTACCTACACGATGTTTGAAGAAACGTTCCTGACAAATACACATTTTATTCACTATAAAGCCCTTGGCCCAAAATACCGTCAATGCAACTGTTTATAAGGGTGCGGTTTACATTAATGGTTTGTGATTTTCAACAATTAACTCTTCACTCGACGTAAGTATAAGACAGTGTTTTATATAATATCCATGTGTTTGTCCTGTAAATGTTTTAGAAGTGTATGAAGAGTGCACGGTTGTTTAACAAGCTTAGAGATATACTTTGCCCCGATGTTAGAGTATTGATCACAGACAAGTAAAACATGCATTTCATTTTGAACATAGTGTAATCCTTTAGTGGAAGCATCGGTTATACTCTATATGTCACATGACACGTTTCCATACCTATTTAC